AAAGTATATGTGAACTGCTGTATGGAAAGTGAATTTCCTCTGTAAATCTTCACCCAAATAAAAATAAATAAAATATTTAAAAAAAAAGAGAACCTTCCAGATCAAGGCATGACCCACAGAGCTGGGGCTTGCCAGCCTCCACAACCGCACGAGCCATTTCCTTGCCAATCTGAGAGCTCTGTGAGCCCAGCCAGCTAATGACAGAACCCAAAGATGGGAGGGAACGTACTGAGGGGAGAGGGAGCAGTTGATGTCGGAAACAATGGAGTGGTTCAGCAGGTTGGAAAAGCTGGACGTTTGGGACATCTTTAACATCCGCCTCACTGGAACCAGCTTTGGGCTGATCCTTCTAAAATAAATTCTTCATGCAAAAAGGAGCCAAGTGCAGGCCTCTTGTGTGGTAACCCGTAAGAGGTGGTGAATTAGGGATCATCCAGGTGTTCTAAGACTTGTTGGAGGTCACGGTGGTATCCATGCTGTTGTGAGGCTGGAGGCTGTACCACCGGTGTTTCAAATTACCTGCAGGGTCACCCGTGGTGGACAGGTTTCAGCCGAGCTTCCAGACTAAGACAGGCTTGAAGGAGGAAGGTGCCATCCACTTCTCAAAGAACTGGCCAGTGAAAACCTTACGAATAACAGTGAAACACTGTCTGATGAATTACTGGAGGTCACAGCAACGCCAAGGGTCTCTCGGTGTGCCAAGCTGCTACCCACACCAGTGCCCTCTGCCCATCAAGTCCTGCTCACATCCTCCGGCCCGTGAAGCATCATCACTTTCATGTGCAAGCTCTGCTTCAGTGGCCCCCCTCTGCACTGTCTCTGGGGCAGTCAGCATTCCCAAAGCCTCAATGTTAGACACACACACACACACACACACACAAACACGTGCTCAGCATTCTTGCAGCTCCCACAGTTACACAAACACACAGGCTAGTTAAACATGCAAGGTCTGCATCCAGCTCATCTGCTCCCCACAGTACCTGGCGCCACACAGGTGGGTCCCCAACAACTCCACCGTGACATACAGGGGCACTGCCATGGACCTTATCAGGTTCCCCGATCTCCTGCAACCTCAGATCTGCCGCCATGCCACCGGCACAGCCGACCTCAGAATCTCTGAACGCGCCCAAAGAGCACGACTGAGCTCGTGAATGGTCGCCACATTCCACCGAGACTTGTCAGAGAGCAGGGTGGGTCGTCAGCCCGCTCTTTCCAAGACGCTCCGAAGCCCTCCTTACGGATACGGTAACCAGCGGCGACCCGAGCGAGTAAGGTCACAGCCCCAGTGGAGAGAATGACGGCAATGGCAGCCGGCGCCAAGAGGCACCGCCCGCACCAGGCCCCACGGGTCGCCAGGCCGGGCAGTGACTCCAGCTGCAACCGCCAGGCCTGGGGGCGCCCGGGCCGACCCCGGCCGCTCAGCACCGCCTGGCAGCCGGCCCGGCCCAGGCAGCTCCGGATCTGCGCACCCGGAGGCGGCGAGCCGGCGGCCGGGCGGGAGGTGAGGGAAAACCGCGCGCTGCTCGCGCCGCCCGGCCGCGCGGGGCCATCTGAGGTTCCTTCCCCGACGTGACCCCGACAGAGACGAGATGAAGGGGCCCCCCGTCCTCCCGGCACAGGCCAAGCG